AAAGCCAAATGTAGTGAGAAACTATTACATAAAATTCTTTGTTTCCACTTTCAATTACATATTCTCAATTTTTGTGAATATTTTGTATATGAATGTGTTCCATCCAGGAAATAATTATAAATACGGGTTTTTTTATATATCTTAAAGTTTAATAACAAGAAATCATTCGTATATGTTACAATTTTTAAAATATTTTTTGAATGACAATTAACATGGTCACAGATTTTTAATAACTGTTTTCAGGTTTAAACTTAAGATTTAATATTAGATTTTTGAAATAATTATTTTCGGCAAGTTCAGAAATATTCAAATGTGTTTGGCAATAGACATAGTAATCAGCTGTGTTTTTGGCAATTTGTACATGCAAACTTTCTTGTTCGAGGTTTAATAACACAGCTGGTGATGAACCAACCATTCCCAATTCTCATGGACATAGCTGTAATAAGAACACACTTTGCCCAAAAACCGCACAAGCCGAGCAGCTGCTCAGCTTGATATGTCAAAACCAAAGCGGCTGTTAAACACCACTACTACTTCAACTTTGGCAATTTGTTATCACCCACTATTTGATAATGATGAGGACATGCCAAAGCAATTGGTAGATAACTGGATCAACAGAAGATTGTATCTAAGATGAAAAGTGATTTGAATGTAGTATTGTTGTGACCGACCAAAAATATTAACTTTGAGAAATATAAGTTGCAAAGTACTCATTGCAAAACCTGACAAGAAAAGCACAACAAAGCTCATGAGACATCTATGTCAGTCATGCGACTTTGAGATGCTCTTAGCTGCTAAACCAAATTGGTTCGACTACGGGGTGAATTTTGTTAGCATTTTGAATGTTTCCACTTTCCAGTTCTGTTTTGTTCTTAAAAACTTGATCACATTTGTTGGAACAGATTACTCGCGGGAGGCACATCTCGAGAAGACCAGATGATGAGCCAAAAAGCATTAGAAGTCCAAGTCATGCAGGTGGGGGAAAGGCCAAACAGAGCGATCAGAGATATATTTCAACGATTACAATAGGACTGAAGAAAATCGGATAAAAATTTAGGCATGAGACTGAAGAAAGGGTTAGTGTTTCCTGGGACATACATAAAGGAAGACAATTGTGGTAAATATGCTGCAAAGAGCTGTCTTCAACAATCTGCATCATTGTGTTTTGAATTGGTTTTAACTTTTGATGAGATGCTTTTAACGGATCAGATCACCAATGTATAATTGAAATAGTTTGTAGATGAAGATGTTTTTTTGGTTGAAGCCGTTGGAAAATTAATAAGTGATGTGATAAGAGATGATGTAAAAGTAATGAAGGATTGGTGTTTGCATGAAAGGATTTATCAAGAGGATCGCCGATTTTGACTTGTTTGTATGAAGTAAGGAGTTGCTCCACTACTTTTTCATAGCACTCTCATGCATAAGCTTTCAACATAAAAAAAAAAACATTTAAAGGATTAAGGAAAAGGATTAGTAGGAGAAGAATCAACTCAAAAGCGGCTATGATGGGATTAGTTTATTTGTACCAGCAAGTTGTCCAACGTTGACCAGCGGTTCCAACCGCAGCAAACAGAACTGAACGAGCAGCTAGCTGTATGTCAGCATCGTCCATGACTATGAATCGCATTGTTTCCACTCAATTCAAGCAAGGTTTAGCCACATTTTTGTTCCTTACAAACATGCAGGATCCTAAGAGCACCACCTCCATTGGAGGATTTAAAGTAGATTTTAGGAAGGTTTTAAAGATAAAAGCGGATTTAAAAAAGAATCAAATATCTTCTGAAACTCGAGTCTTAAGCTGAGCAGCTTCTGTTAAATATCTCTCTTTTTCTTCTCTCCGACTATACGAACAAACGATGGCGAGAGGCAAAAGAAATTCTCCACACCCAAATAATCTTCCGATTTCATAAGATTCGAAGATCCCTAAACCCAAATCCTGGTTCGTTAATCTCATCTTCTCTACAAACATCCCATCAAAACATATGTCGACATCACCACCGATTTTGCTCGCCGGTTCGTCATCTTCTCTTCTTCCTTTTAACACTGTTTCGAAATTGAATTGATTCTGGGTTAGCTACCATTTAGGTTCTCCTCCTGAAAGATTGGTTATTGATTGAAATTCCAATTTGTAAAGCATGAGTTTTTTTCCGATTCAAGTTGCTTCTTGTTTAACTGTTGGTTATTGATTGATATTCCTCCTACAAGGCTGTGATTCATCAGTTTGCTAACGTTTTTATTTGGAGTTTCGGTTTTGATGTTTAGGGAAGTGATAGTGATAGAGATTTGGTTATTGTACCTGCCTTGTGTATACTGTTGAGGTCTATTGGTGATTTTCACTCAGAAGGGAATGGAGAAGGCTCTTAAGCCTTATTTCGAGCTTACCATTGTAGGCCCACCTCCATAATCTTGCTGCTATGACATAATTTTAAAATTTCTTATGAGGACAGTAGCATAATCTACATCACCTCTGTTTTACCTTTTCCAAAAATCTCTCGTTGGCCTATACATTCCTCTTTTTATTGCTGCTGTTGTTATCTACTGCCTGAAATTATTAAGAGCATGATTTTCTGGCTTACAGATTTGTCTCACTATGTACTGATATAATGATATGAAGCTTGTAGTTTATAATCTGTTTCAGTTTTTGAAGGCCGTTAGCATCAGTTCAAGAGAAGCTCTTAGACACATTTGCTTCATATGGATTTTGGTTTTAGGATTGCTTTGAATTGCTCTTAGGATTTGACAATTAGAGTCAAATAAGGTTGATGAAAGGGATTGTTGAGGTTGATATTTTATTTTACTAGGAAATGAACCCGGGCGTCAACGCGCGGTAAATTGAACAAAACTAAATTATTATTTAATAATAATATAATACATTTATGATCATAATAAGAATAATTTTACAAACTACACATACACATGAGAGTTCTGTATTTACATATACAGTTTTTTGTTTTTCTTTTTATGAATTTCAATAAAATTATCTTTACATATTTTCAAACAAAGCTATAGTAATTCTAAAACTGTTTTTTTGTTGAATTTATATTTCAGTCATTCAAAAAAAGAAATAATCCACATATAACAGTTCTTCGACTAATTAAGCGTCTTTAATAATAAAAAAATAGCATACATTTTCAACTTCTATTCAAAGAAAAATGTAGTTAGTTAGTTCTTCTCATATTCATACGCGCGTTGCGTGGGCCGTGCCCACTTGATAAAAATTGAAACACTCGCCTACGGACCCACATTTAATTTTGTATTTCTTTAGTTAAGAATAGGGTGAATTGAAGCAATATACATGGAAAATCTGACAATTAAAAATTTGGAAATAAAAGTTGGTAATTAGTTTTTGAGGAGAGAGGGTTTTACTTATTTACATAAAATACCATTGACTCAAAATTGTTTTCTGATGTTATCTGTCGGAGATACTGTTCATTAACCGCACCATAACACTGTTCATCAGTAACCGATTATATTATTCATCGCCTGAAACAATATATGATTTTAATTGATAATTATTTTATTATCATGCTAACTAGTATGATATCGAGATTATTCGATTACCATGATAACAATATTATTGTCATTGTGATTATTATGATAACACTGTGATTACCATGCTAACTAATATTTATTTAGTTATCATATTGTAAACTTATAGTATTAACTGTGTTATTGTGATAATAATCGTGCTAACTTACTAACATTTCATTTAAATTATGAATTATTCATTAATAAATTTTGTTAATTTTGTTAACGTACAATAATACTAATGATAATATTGTTATTTTCATGATAACACTGTGATTATCATACTAATTAATATTCAGTTAGTTATCATATTGTAAATTTATAGTGTTAATTGTGTTGTTATGATAACAATCGTGCTAACTTGTTAATATTTCATTTAAAATATGAGTTACTCATTGGTAAATTTTGTTAATTTGGTAACATACAAGTTACTCTATAATATATCACCAAAATTATCGCTAATGTCATGATTACCTATTTAGTGGTGTTATCTTCATCATCTTCACCATTGATAAGAAAAATGGAGGAGAAGAGGTAAAGGCCAAATCTGCAGGAGAAAGGAGATGTGCCACCGGTAAAAAACGATGTAGTTACTACCACGATCATTCCACCATCATCAATCACCACCACCACCGTCATCGTTATCATTCGCCACCGTCATCAAATCGCCACCACCACACATCTATTTCACGGTGAAACAGAAAAGAGAAAAAAAAATAAATAAGTGAGGGACTAAATTGTAATTACATTTTAAATAGTGTATGTCAGAAAAGTCATTTAATTTAGCCATTAGGCTATATATTGCATTTACTCTTAAGAATATTTAATTTTGTATTAAATTTAGGATGTTACTTTACCTAAAGATGATTTTGTTCGGTCTTCTCTAAAATATCTGACCACTGTTTCTTTAAAAAAAATAAGTTGTTTTCTGTATTTATCATGTGTTTGTTTTTTTCACCCATTGATTTTCTTTCCTTTATTTTTTTACCAACTTCATTTTTTTTGTTAAAAAAGCATCCTTAAAAGCATTAGATTAAAATTAATTTTGCCTATAGGCAAAAAAACCCTGGGCACGGCATGACATAATCTTATATATAATGAGAAGATATCACTCTTCAGTTGAATGACACCTGGCCAATCTCCTCTTTCTAATAAAAATACACGTGGCAGCATTTATCATTTTAGTGAAAAAAAAAATTGTTTCATCTTCCTAACGCCTAACGCCTCTTGACGCTTCATCTTCCATGTAACATAAAAGAAAAGGATGAAGCCAATTTACTTTACCAAGTTATTACCCTGAATAAGTAGTTCTCGGGAGATAGGATCAGTTTCTGACCATTGCCGAATTCCATAGCTATCTCGGGAAAATAATTGTGAACCTCAGCCACATCCCTGAACGACATCGACATCAACATTGAAGTATATCCTTAGACATAAAATAAAGGTCGAAGAAGTATCGTAATGTAGTTGTTTTAAACAAAACTTCCAGCGCCGGAGAAACATATATTATCATAATTTGTATCTGGACCATGAATCCGTTTAAGAGATGGAGTCTCCTTAATGACCTGCAATATAACATAAGGAAGAACCATTAACATTTATCTTTGACAGTGTATATTCTAAGCTTATAAAAGTGCATTCATTTGCCAAATGACATCCATTGAAGAGCATGCAAGCAATATTTACATTATTCTACCAACTTACTAAAAAGATATCAGTTCTGAGTTATCAAGTAGCTACGAGGCATTGAAATGCAATCCTGACTGTAATTGTGACGATGATGGGAAGCTATGTAAACCAATCATAGTAAAGATTAGGCTCTTAAAATCTAGGGTTAAGAGAGGAATGGAGAGTCTCGTGAAGAGAATAGTGCTAAGAGATAAGCATACATGTACATGACTTAAGTTATCTTACCGCATCTTTGATGGCAATAAAAACTTGTTTCGGAAAATAAGCATATGTTGTTCCACTATCCAAGACGGTTCCATGCTTTTCGTTAAAGACCTTTGGGTTTAGCTTCAGACTCTTGCCAGCGACATGCATTTGCTTCAGGTGAATGTTATAGTACGGACTGCAAACACACAAAAACTACAGTGACGTGTGAGAAGCTCAAGATCCACTCTCAATTCTTCAGATACCAAACTAACTACAAACTCATGAAGTTACTCTACCTGCGGAAAGAATCCGAACGAGCAAACACCATACCAGCAGGAGGAGTGATTTTACCAACCACCATAGCACCACCACCAACTTCCATTCCTCCATAACACAAGGAAAAACCATCAGCACGCTGGCTGAAAAGATCCCATGTCTCCGCGTTCTCGCATCCGAAAACAGCATGTTGTCCAAAAGATATCAAATTCTCACTTAGTAGCCCACTACTCGTGCTCATCTCAGCGTATCGTCTTTCGTATACACATAGCTTCCCATCATCGTCACAATTACAGTCAGAATTGCATTTCAATGCCTCGCAGCTACTTGATAACTCAGGTTGAAACTTGGGATCCTGAAACAGTATATAGCAAATCCTTTCAGCTAATGATTCTACAAACCAAACCAATATCTACTGAATTCGCAGAAACCTCATCGATGATGAAAAATTGATCTCTACCATATTTCTTCTCAAGAACTTTATCATAACTTAATTCCTTAAGATCATCTTCTACACACAAAGTATCTGAAAAGATCAAACTAACTTAAATCAGCTGTTGCTTCCCACACTGCTTACAAGTAGAGCAAGGAACGTAAGTGCCAGTGCTTCCAGTATCTACAATCAAAGGGAATTCCTGAGGTTGTCCTCCTATCCATAATCGTGTCGTTTAGTAGTTGCATAAAGATTGAGCAACAAACAATAAAAACCCAGGATTACACGAATCAGCATCGTGTAGATAGATTGCCGGAGAAACTAAATTGGTAAATATTTCGAAAGTCTAACCCATCGTCGAGGAGCTGAGATTGTTGGAGACGGCGGCGGCAAAAATCCTCGACTCGTCTGGTTAGGGAAGAGTAGCTGAGCGGGATAATCATCGGCGATTCGGCTGCTAAATTGAGCTCATCGGGAGTTTTAGCCAAGCTCAGATCGAAGAATTTACAAAGGGAGATGGTGAGGAGGAGGAGGAGGAGGGAAGCTCGATTCATGGATCTGGTGGATAATTGAGATCAGTGGATTTGATTGGAAAACTCCGGTGGCGACGGAGGGGATAGGCAAAGTATACTCCACCGTGGCTCCGTCGTAGATCCTTCGTCGTAAGGAATAAAGGAAATTGAGAAGAGAGAGAGAGAGAGAGAGAGAATGAAATGGTAACGGAGGTTTCATGATTTTAGTAATAATCGAAGAAAATCGAAAAACATAAAAAAACAATTATATTTATAATATCAACGATAATTTACAATAGGCATAATTCGGGTAATTGGGATATCCACTCAGTTCAAGTATTAACCAATATCCACCGGTTAAATATTTACCTAATGAATGATTTACTAGCTGGATTGCATAGAAACGGAAACGGAAATGGAAATACGAAAGCAAAACGTTTCCGTATTTTGAAAAATATAAGTTTGGAAATATTTTGGAAATGTATATATATATATATATATATAAAATATTAAATACTAAATAGTTTAACTAAAAATAAATATCATAATCTTTAATGTCAAAATATTAAAAATATTTTCTATTATTATTATTATTTTTATGTGTTTCATCAATCGAAATTATCTTCAACTATCTTCATGGAGAGGAAGATTTTAAATAATCAAATTCAATATATAATGTTAAGACTAATTTTCAACTAATAAATTAAATTAATTATTTTTTATCTTAAATAATGAAACAACCTGTTATATTATTTTGCAATTTGAAAACTTGGAAAAACGAGTTTCCAATAAGTTTTCGAAAGTTTCTGTTTTGTAAACGTACACACCACATGACAATTTTATATTGAGTTTGACTGGTTCCATGCAATATAGTTTACTATATACTCAAAATCAATCGGATACGAGTATTTTGGACATGTGTGGTTGGATTTTTGGGTGTAGGTTAAAAGTCTCAGGTTTACTGCGAACATTTTAAGGAATTTTATCTCAAGGGAAATAAAGAGCAATATACATTTATATTAAGAGATAGAATATTTATAAAATTCAAATGATATTTAAATACAAGCAACAAAACTTTGTAATAGACATAGCCTGCACATCGCGCAGGCTTAACCCTAGTAATATGTAAATGTAAAGATTTTTTCTTCTCTGTTTCGTCAACTTGTCCATGACAAACTTTAAGCGATGAGATTTATTTTCTTTGTTCCTTTTTGTAACACCTTAATATTTGTTTATGCAGAATATAAAACAATAAAACAACAGAAACCAAACTGGATTTATAAATATCACAAGAAGAGGAATTACTTCTCATATATAACTGAAAAAAAAAAGTATATATTTGGTGTAGAACAGCTTAGGAAAATCCACATTCTTTGTATATTTACAGTGTAGGTACATGGATGTGTCATATTTAAGTGCCTTTTAAAGGAGCCAGCCGAGATTTAACGAGTGCATGCCGTTAATCAGGTCACAACATATCGCCACGATTCATCCCGGAATCCACTATATCAGATTCAGAGGCTAACAAAGAGATGAAGATGACAAGACCCTTTACAAGATTCACACTCCATTGATCTCTTTCCCCTGTTTGCCCAAGAACCATAAACATATTTCCATTTTAAACTATTACTCTCACTTCTCAATTTCGTATCTCTCTCTAATCTTTATAGATGTATTCAGCTATTTATATAGAAACACAGGAAACTAATTGCCAACCACGCTGCACCACGACGCTGACGCCGTCTTGCACGGTTTCATTCGTTTAAATGAAACTTGCTCTTGTGCGACAAAACAGATTTGTTTTGTTTTATCAGAGAAGCGACAGACGGCTCCTGCAATGTGGTCCTACAATATGTTCCTTAAGCTTGAATACATCATCTCCACGTTTACATAAGTGCGTCTTTGCCTTGAATCTTCAATCCTATATTCAACATAAGAAGAGTTTTTATCCTTCGATATCGACTCAAAGACGTAGTAGAAACAGAAACAGAGGGATGGTTGAGAGAACAGTCAAGGAGACCACAAAGACGATGAGAGAAAGGGAACAGCAAACCAACGATTACGACAATGTCAAGCAGATTGTGATTGTGATTCAAGATTTTGTAGAACAGAAAAATAGCGAGAATAATAACGTATAACGATGACAAACGATGAAGAAATAATAACAGAGGAGAGATGTGGTGACAGACGCGACGGATTAGGAACAAGACCAACTGATTAAGTGATTGAGAATCGAAAATCTATAAACTAACAACAACACTTGTGAGAGTGATTTAAACTAATGCAATGCGTTCTATATATAAATTGTGAAAAGATGCCACTATTGTGATACACGTGATGGTATCAAATACCAAAGACGCAAGAAGGTTTAGGATTTGGAGTTTTTCCTTTTTCATTAAGATTAAAGAGTTGGTGTTTTTTCCTTTTATGTTGTTTTCCTTTTTAGCTAAGGCTTTGGATCGTGTCCCATGGCCTATATAAACTAATCTTATTATCAATCAAGAATCATCTTCCAAGAATTAACCTTAAAGCTCAAAGAGAGTTTAGGGTTAAAAGGAAGTTTACTTTCTTATTCTCTTGAGTTCAACATAGCTTACTTAGGACCTACGACACGAGCTCGCTCTAAGGAACAGGCTCGTATCATATTGTTTGCAATTGAAGAGAAGCGTTCGTTGAATGGCATGGCAAAAGACATGACGTTTTCTGATTGCACCTATTTACAAATTATACCTTTTCGGTAAACTTAAAGCAATTAGTTGATACGATGCAACATGGGAAGGAGAAGAGAGTACGTGATTGACGTTGTTGTGGTTGTGAAAGTGTTCATCGTTGAACAAAGTCTCCGATCTACGATCAATATTCTAAGCAAAACTTAGTTTTGGTCCCGTCTTGTTTTTTTCTCTTTCCCTAGTAAATCAATTATACCTGAAAACATGTTGCTAGTGTAAAGAGAACGTAGGGATAAGATCATATACGAAGAAAAATTAGCAATAATCTTTACGGATAACAAATAAATTATATTTAAAAAATCTATCGATAAACAGTAGCTTGGGGAACAATAAGAGACACTTACCTCTTAAAGAAGGACAAGGAAAAAGGCTGAATTGAAATTGTTGGCGGAATTGATTTACAGATGAAACAAGTATCGAAATCGAATTGATTCACAGAGAGAACAATTAATTGAAATCGTTGCCGGAATTTTTCACAGATGAAACAGGTAAACAAATAATCGATGATTTAGGAGAAAAAAGTTAGCATCGTTATATAATTGTGAGTTGATGCACTCATGCATCTCTAATTGAAAAGATACGTTCCTCCACCGTGAAAAGATATATGTTTATATAATTTTTAATATTTGTGAAAAGGTGCTAGTTAAAGGGTTTGTACTTTGTAGTTGTAGAGATGTGATGTTTCGAAAAAGACACTACACTATTTCTTAAGGAGGGATGACGTCAGCCTTTAGATTAAAACAACATCTCAACCATTAGATTAGAAACGCAAAGCAAAGCAATATCAACCATATAATAGCAAAACAAATGTCTTTTGTTGTGCTCATTTAAGAAGTTGTGTCTTTTCGAGTCATATCTTTTCGTTTATAACCGCATAACTTGATCAACAGTTGCAACATTTAATGATGATGCTTTCCACTTCTATATGTATTGTTTACAGCAATGAACACGTTTAAGGAGGTTTTTGGAACCTAGCTTGACTCTAAACCTGGCCCTGCACAAACTCATCTCCATTAAAAACTTTCAAAATATACACAATGCGGCTAAATCATCATATATGTAATTAAAGAGTTTTATGTTCATTTAAAGTGTCCACTTAAGTTCATACTTTGCCGGTACACTTGTGACACAATACTGAAATACATGTATAATATAAAGGATGTGAGTACATTTCGTGTCTTGGGACGGGAATTAAGGGAAACGGGATGGGAATAGGAAATTTGGAAAACCAAATATGATATCGAAGTATTCCCTTATAATAATGGGATGGAAAACGAAAATGGGAAGGGATTAATTTTCCCGATTTATTAAGATTGGGTATTAATCTTTTATCCCCAAATTTCTCGGTTCCTTCTCATTCCCGTTATTTCCCGTCTCGTTAGAATAAGGGAATACTTCGGGTATCATACTTGATTTCCCAAATTTCCCATTCTCGTCTCGTTTCCGTCAATTTCCGTCATAAAACCCGAAATGCACAGGGCTAAAGAGTTACCATTGACCTTCTAAAGATTTTGTTTATGGTATCGTTTTTTATTCTTCCCAGCAAGTGTTTCTTTCTATCCTCTTTAGTCTCACCCTTATCGTGAACTAATCTTATATGTGCAACATCTGTGAAATATCAAAAAGACACGTGCTGTACCATCGTTTTCATCATCATCTTCACTTTTTTCATCTTGGTGGTAATCATAATAGTCATTAATTGCTTCAAGGAACTCAATTGCTTTACTGATTTCTTCTCTGGCCATCCACTGTATGCAATATGTTCGCAAAGATGGTCAGCCAGTGAAGAAAATCCGTCAAACAATTGATCTCTTTGAAGCAACTAATGACTATATTAATTACCAAGCAAAAAGAATATATGTGAAGAAACGATAGGACGTATACACAGATCTTGGCTATGCATACAAGGTTAGTTCATGGTAAGGATGAGAAGAAAAAGAAAAGAATTTATGAGAGGAATAAAAACCTATATCGTAAACAAAATCATGAGGAGGTCCATGGTAAGTCTCTTCAGATCAAACCCAACAAGTAAGCAAAAGCACGTCAACAACGCAAGAGAAGTAGGATACACATGTTGTTTATTATGTAAAACATACCCGATCACAACATGGAGGAGAATCACAACAAATGGGAACCAAAAGCACGTCCACGACACGAGCATTCAGACCATTGCTGACTTAAAGCTCGCTGGGTTTGATGTGAAATTTACCATGGACCTTCTATAGAGTTTATTTATGATATCATCTTTTATTTTTTTCAGCTAAGTCTTTCTTTTTCCCCTCTTAAGTCTCATCCTACAATGAACTAACCATA